AGGAGGAGGAGGAGGAGGAGGAGGCGGCGGCGGCGGCGAGGGGGCCGCGGAGCCGGCGGGGGAGGCGCAGGTAGGTAGTCGGGCGGGGGGCGGGGGGCGGCGGGGGTCTCCCTCCGGGGCAGCCCCTGCAGGACCTCCGCGCTCCCCCTTCCTCCCCCGCAGGGGCGGCTGCTGGCGGCGCAGGAGACCTTCTTCCAGGAGCTCTTCGAGGGCGAGCTGGCGTCGCAGGCCAGCGCCGAGTTCGAGCGGGCCATGGAGGAGCTGGCGGCCGAGGAGCCCATGCTGGTGCAGCAGTTCCAGAAACTCTCGGCGGCCGCGGGCAGAGTCGGTGAGCGGGGCGGAGGGGGGGAGGCCCTTCGGGCGGGGGTCGCGGGGCTCTTGGGGGGGCGAAGAGCCCGGCTAGCGCTGCCGCCTCCGCCTCGTTGCAGGGAGCGACCCAGCGTCCCGCCAGGAGTTCACCTCCTGCCTGAAGGAGACGCTCAGCGGGCTGGCCAGGAACGCCGACGGCCTGCAGGTGAGTCCCCCCCCCAGTCGACTCCCCCCCCTCCAACGCCCTCCGCCCCCACCGGCCTCCCCCCCCCTCCGTGCCGCGGGAACCCTCCCTCCCAGCTGCCTCTTTCCCTAGAGCTCCGGGGTGTCGGAGGAGGAGCTGAGCCGGACGATGGAGGGGCTCGGTCTGGAGGAGGGGGACGGTGGGGAAGGCAGCCTGTGGCCCATCATGCACAGCATCATGCAGAACCTGCTCTCCAAGGACGTCCTCTACCCCTCCCTCAAGGAGATCACGGAGAAAGTAAGGAAGCCCTCCCCTCCCTCCAGCCCCCTGAAGCTCTTGCGGAAGGCAGGGAGAGGGGCTGCCTGGGGGCTACTCCTCACTCCCCCCGCCCCACCCTGGGTCCAGCAAGTGGGCTATCTGTGGCTTCATGGTGGACTCTCCCCCACCCCCCCAGTACCCAGAGTGGCTCCAGAGACACCGAGAGTCCTTGCCCAAGGAGCAGTACGAGAAGTACCAGGAGCAGCAGAGGGTGATGGGAAGGATCTGCGAACAGTTTGAGGCCGAGCAGCCCACCGATGGGGACCCAGAGCACAGGGCCCGCTTTGAGACCATCCTGGACCTGATGCAGCAGGTGAGGGGGACGTGTGGGCCGCGTGGGGAGCCACGCGTGGTGGAGCTGGGGACTCACCTTGCCCTTTGCTTCCAGCTGCAAGACCTGGGACATCCTCCCAAGGAGCTGGCCGGAGAGTCGGTGAGTGCCCGTTCGGCTGCCCTTTCCCCAGGCTTGGATTCGGTCTTGCCACCAGCAGCCTTGGCCTCACAAGGAGGAGGAGGAGGGCAAAGGGGGCATTTCCAAGCCGCCAAGTGCCTGATTAGGGCGGCTTGAACCCGCCGGCGTTCCCTACAGCCCACTCCATGCAGAGAAGCGTTTCTGTCTTGTGACCGGACACCTGTTGCTCCTTTTCCAGCCTCCTGGCCTGAACTTTGACCTGGAAGGACTGAATCTGCCTGATGCCGGAGGTGCGGGAGGCGAGCAGTGCCAGATCATGTGACCTGCTCTCGTGCCAGGGAGACTGAGGAGTTGGGAGGGCGCTGTGGTGGGTCGAGGTGTTTGTGTCTTTTTTTTTTCCTGTTTTCCGTCATCACCAGGTGCCTGAGGCTGCCTGCCTTGGCTCAACCCGGCAGGCGTTTGTGCAGGGATCCCACCAGGGACTTAGCAAGGCAGAGTTATGACGCCCCGAGGTCAGGTGCCCATCTTGGCCTCTGAAGAGACGGATCGGCCCTGGAGGCCCCGGGAACGTCCCTTCCCTTGGGTTGATGGACGGGCTCTCTCGGATGAGGTTGCTCTCAATGAAACAATCGGGCCGAGGGAGGAGGAGGAGGAGGAGGCAGTGGCTCATGAGAGCCCTCTGGGTGAAGGGAGACCTCCGGTGCCCATTCCCCGAGCCCCAACTCTGCTGCTCTCCTCAGGCAGCTCCACCTGCGACCCTCACTCCAGTGCTCCGTCAAAGGTCTCTGGATCAGGGGGCCTGAGCCCCCTTTCGACAATGCCAGGCAAGCTGACCACATCAGCGTGAGCCTTTTTTTGCCGTAGCCCCAAGTATTAACATTCCCCTGCCCCCCCCGTTAGTCCTGTCGCTTTGTGAGAACTGCCTGTATGGGGAAGGATAGCTAGGAAGCAGGCCGACTCTGTCCACTGGCCACAGGGGCGTTTCCTTTCTGCTAGCGGCTGATGGTGCAGGAGAGCCGCCCTCCTTGGCCGGGTCTGGCCGGACTGAATGAGAAGGGCGATTCTTGAAATAAAAGGTGGAGGTTGATGGTTTGAAGTTGTGGTTGTTTCTGTTAATTGTTGTGAGTAGAGGGAATCTTCAGCACACGGAGGAGCCTGTAGCAGTTCCGCTTGGCAGGCCTAAGCTGCTCGGGTCCTGTTAAAAGTCTGGGCAAAACGGACCACCAGCAGTCTACTAAAACAACTTTTATTTCCAGTGGGGCATCTCCCACGTGGTGGACACGTTCACACATTAAAGGGAGGGGGGGTGTGTGGGAAGTGGCAGGGTAGTCTGCCAGATGCTCCTTGTTCCTCAGCGGGCCTTATTATTTGGGGGTGCAAATCCTAAATGGGGGGGAAGATGATCATGAAGGACTTGCATGTGTGGCCTTTGTGTGAACCGGTGGAGAGTGATGATGGTCTGTCTCAGCCTCCCATAGCCCACCCACCACATCTTCTAGGGTTGCTTGGAAATGAGGGGCTTCGCTCAGAGCCCCTCCTGGGGGCGGCCACCTTAGCACGTACCCCTTTGGCTCTTTCTAGGCAGGGGGCAGGGACTCTGCTGGGCAAAGGCTGCCTGGGGAGGTGGGGAGGGGGCTGCAGGAGCGCCCAAGGGGGTCAACCTTGACCCTAACCCTGCGGGGGGCATCCCCTCAACTCCCAGGACAATGTCCGAAGGTTCCGGGAAGGAGGAGCCGGCTGCCCCGCGGCCCAATGGTGCGAGGGCGGCTGCACTTTGGGCGCCCCGGCCTCGCGGGGACTCGGCGCTGCCACCGTCGGGCAAGGGTCCCCCGGGTGGTTCGGCGGCGAAGCGCTTCCGGACTCCCTTAGGCCAGCCACCGGGGCTCGCTCTCTATGGTTGTTCCCGCTCTGGGAAAGGCGTCTCGAAGGCACCTTCGGCCGTAAAGCCGCGCTCGGGAGGTGTGGCGTAAAGCGCGGCTGTCGCGAAGAGCGGAGGAGCCGGAAGGAGACGCGCGGCGCCGGTTGGGCGACAAAATGGCGGCGGCGCCTGGGCGTCCCGGGGGCAGCACCGGCGACGGGGCGGCGGGAGGAGGAGGAGGAGGAGGAGGAGCGGGAGCCGCTGCCACCGCCTGAGGTACCCGGAGGGCCCCGGCAGGCGCAGCCGAGGGCAGCCGTCTCCCCGGCCGAAGCCCCGCCATGGCCGGGCCGGGCCTGCCTGCGGGGCAACGGAGCCTCGGCCGCCGTTCCTCAGCCCCCCCGGAGGAGACCCCCCCCGCGGGAGGGAGGGAGGGAGGGGGTTTCCTGGGGCTCCCCCTTCCCTTCCAGGAAGTTTCCCAGGGGCCCTTGCGGGGCGTCCGGGGAAATCCGGTTCTCTGAGACGCCGTTTTCTGCTCCTCCCCCCCCTCCGCTTAGTCTGATCTCCGGTTCCCGGGTGACGACCGAGGGTCCCCCGCGCCCCCCCCCCCAGACGGAAGAGGCGGCAGGACAGGTGGGTCTCTTGGGGGGGAGGGAGGGGGGAGGCTCCCGAGGGGAACCCCCCCCCCCTTTCCCCGAGGCTGCAAGGCAAATTCAGCAGGCTGTGGGCCTGGGACCCCCCCAGGGCTGGGACCCCCCCCGTCCCTTCCACGGGCCTGGTGGCCGGGGCTCCCTGGACGAGACTCCCCGGAGGGCCTCTTTGGGCAGAGCCTCTGGGGGGGGGAGGGGAGGGTCTCGGTTCAGCCCCCCAGCTGCCCCCCCTCCCCCTGGGGGTTCCCCCTCCCCCCTCCTGCTGCTGCTGACCGGCTGGGCTGATGGCAGCCAGGAGCCTCCGAAGGCCGCCGGTCCCTCCTCCGCCTTTCAGCTCCCGGGGTGCCCCGAGGGAGCCTCCTGGGGTTCGGGGCCTCCTGGCTGAGGGAGGGGAGAGAAGCCGGGGGAAGAGCCGGCCTTTGGCCTGAGTCCTGGCCTTCCAGAGGAGCAGAAGGCGGATCGGGAGCCGGGGAGGGTCATTGGGGGCCAGTCCCCAGTTTGAAGGGCCCTGCCTGTCCTGGCCAGGAGGCGAAGGAGGGCAGCCTCCTCCTCTTGGGTCTCGATGCCTGGGGGTGGGTGGGTGGGGGGCTGGCATCTTCGTGCAGGCTGGCACCCACATACGTGCCCACGGTGCCTCTGTTATTCGCACCCAGATCTCATCCGATCTCGGCCGGCGTTTGGAGCCCCCGTTTACTTGGAGACGGTTGCTCCGTCGCGTGGGTGTCTTTGAAAGGATGTTTGTTGTTAATTCCATTAATTACCAGCCATCTTGACAACCATCTGGCTGCAGGGAAGGCGGAATGATCTTAAATAAGCAGTGTGATCTAAACAGAAAAACGGAGGGTGGGGCTTCCTACTGCCCCTCCCACCCTGGAAACCTTCCTTAGGGTTAAAGAGTTTGCTCATCGAGGTCTGGTCGGACCTGGAGGCGCTTTGGGGGCTTCTCGTCTTGGGAAATGGGCCCTGGAGATGGGAACTTTGAAGAAAGTCCCTCCCTGCCCCTCTCGCCGCCTCTGCCGGGGCCCTTCTGGGAGGAGGTGCCAGGGCAGCTGCTTCCCCACAGAAGGCCCCGGCTGCTGCGCCTGCTGGTGCTCCAGACTGCTCCATGTGCCACGTGTGAGCGTGGTGGGAGGGCTGTGGCTGTGCACTCCTTCGCCCGGGTGTGCCAGTGCTGTCTGGGGGCAGCCCTCGGGCGAACTGGGGCAGAATGGACAAGTGTGGAGGCCGTGACCCACACTTGAGGGTTGGGAAGAGGGGTCAGTCTCTCTGATTCTCCCTTTCCTGCACCTGCCCCCTGCCACACGTGGGTCACCTCTCTTTCCTTCTCTTTCTCTCAGGGGGAATTAAAATAAAATAGCAAGATGTCGGACGCAGGGAATAGCACGGAGGGGAAAACGAATATCCCTAACGGTAAGAGCAGAGAGAGAAGCCGGAAGATTCCCGACGTTGGTTGCCGGTTGCAGGACCGTGGAGGGCTCTGTGCCAATCCACTGAGCTGGGTCTGGGTGGTAGAGAGGGCAGACGGGCTGGATCCTGCTCGCTTCTGTCCGTCTCCCTGGGGGGCAGCGACTCCTGTGTTGTGGGAAGCTGTGGGCATTTGGGAGCAGAGCTGCGTAGAGGAAGACAGAGGAGGGAAGGCCAGCTCATCGTCCTCACCCGCATGTGCTCTGCACACACAGGGAGCTTGTCCAGCAGCCCGGAAGAGATGTCCGGAACCACGGAGGGGCCTGAGACATCCTCCGGGGTGGAGGTGGAGGCTTCTGACCTGAGCCTCAGCTTGACGGGGGACGAGGTGGGCCCCAGTCAGACTTACACAGAGAGCTCCACCGAAGAGAAGGACTCGGACAGCATGGAGGAGACCGGGCACTACTCCATCAACGAACTGAATCGGACCTATGACCACTCCCCCTCGGAGGAAGAGGAGGAGGAGGCCGAGGAGGAGGAGGAGGAAGAGGAGGAAGAGCAGCAGCAGCAGCAGCAGGAGGAGGCGGAAGTGGAGGCCCAGCGTTCCCGCTGGCGAGCGCACCGCAAGCGCCCCAACCAGGACCGGGACTCCTCGGATGATGAGCGGGCGCTGGAGGACTGGGTGGCCTCGGAGACGATGGCGCTGCCCCTGCCTCGCTGGCGAGCCCTGCAGGCGCTGCGGGGGAGGCAGCTCGGCTCCAGCGCCCGCTTCATCTACGACGCCTGCGGGGCCCGGCTGTTTGTGCAGCGCTTCTGCCTGCAGTACGGCCTGGAGGGCCACGGCGGCTGCGTCAACACCCTGCACTTCAACCAGCGAGGGGCCTGGCTGGCCAGCGGCAGCGACGACCTCAAGGTGGTGGTCTGGGACTGGGTGCGCAGGCGGCCCGTGCTGGAGTTTGAGAGCGGCCACAAGAGCAACGTCTTCCAGGTGGGGGAGGAGGAGGAGGCAGCGATTCTGGGTCGGGGGGACGGGGGGGGGTAACTTGGGGAGATTGGAGCAGGGTCTTCCAGAGGGCCCAACTGCCTCGGGTGTCCCACCATTGAGGCTGGGAGCCTGGAGGAGGGATCCTAATGGCCCTGGGAAGAGCTCTGCTGCCTGGTGGGGCAGAGGGTGGGGTGTCCGGCCTTGGGGCAGAGCTGCCCCCACCCCTTGCCATCCCTGGCTGCTTTCGCCCCTGCAGGCCAAGTTCCTCCCCAACAGTGGAGACTCCACGCTGGCCATGTGTGCTCGGGACGGCCAGGTCCGCATAGCCGAACTCTCTGCCACGCAGTGCTGTAAGACCACGAAGCGGGTGGCCCAGCACAAGGGTGCATCGCACAAGGTGAGGGGGCTTCCTCTGCTTCCCCCACCCTCGATCAGGGGCCCAGGAGGGCCTCTGCCCGATGGGCTGCCCATACCTGGCTCTCGGTTTCTGGCCACGCGATGAGCCGGCACCTTGGCGAGAGGCGGCCTGTCCCTCCCCTTGCGACGTCCCTGCGGAGGGAGGCTCCCTTGCTGTCTCTTGAGGGGCCACCCAGACGCAGCTCCAAGCCAGGGGACTTTCCTGCAAATTTCTTTTGAGTTCCCGGGGTGGGAAGGCTGGCCGCTCCGGAGGCTTCCGGAAGTCCTTCGCTTGTCGAATTCGGGACTGCAGCTCTCCCTCGGCCACAAAAGGCGTCTCAGCTCAGCCTTCCTGTCCCCTAGCTGGCCCTGGAACCGGATTCCCCCTGTACTTTCCTCTCGGCGGGAGAAGATGCCGTGGTCTTCACCATCGACCTGAGACAAGACCGGCCGGCCTCGTAAGTGGGCAGCTGAGCGGCTGGCGCTGCCCGTTGGGCCGGCTCAGGGCCCTGAAGGCCTCGCTTTGTCTCTCTAGGAAGCTGGTGGTGACCAAAGAGAAGGAGAAGAAAGTCGGCCTCTACACCATCTACGTCAACCCGGCCAACACCCACCAGTTTGCTGTGGGGGGCAGAGATGAATATGTCAGGTCAGCAGAGCCCGCCCCCCCCGTTCCTCACCCCCCGGGGTGTCTGGGAGACCCTGTTGGGCCCCCCCATGCTCAGCTGCGGTGCCACACTCTGGGAAGGGGATCCGCCTTGCCCTTCCTCCGGCTTTCATCCCCCCTTAGTTCTGTTGGCTTAAGGACTAGCCGCTTGCTTTGGCTGGAGGGAACGTGGCCGGGGTCCCCTGGAGACTTTCCTGGGGTCTCAGCTCTCCCTCCCTTCTGCCCCTCTCCGCCCAGGATCTACGACCAGAGGAAGATTAATGAAAACGAGAACAATGGGGTGCTGAAGAAGTTCTGCCCCCACCACCTGGTGAGGCCTTCTCTTCTGCCACCCCCACACCCCCCCTGGGTCTCGGGGGAGCAAGCAGGGGCTGTGGGTGGGGGGTTCACAGCCCCCTTGGGCTGTATCTGGGCAGGGGGGCTTGGTCTCTAGGGGAAGAGCCTTCCCTGCGCTGGGGAAAGTGGGCCTGGCCCCCCGGAGGGTTTGGGAGATGGAGCCCCCGTGCAGGGGGGGGCTTTGCCAGGCACTCGAGTTCTGCCCCTCCACCACCCCCTCCCTCCAGGTGAACAGCGAGTCGAAGGCCAACATCACCTGCCTGGTCTACAGCCACAACGGCTCAGGTAGGGGGCCGTCCATGGGGAGCTCCTCGGAGGCTGAAGGCCGGGGCCCACCCTCTGGTCTGGAGGAGGGGGCTGTGGGGGGGGGGCTGGGCGGCTGCCTCCAGGGGGTCCCTTGTGGTCTCTTGCAGAGCTCCTGGCCAGCTACAACGACGAGGACATCTATCTCTTCAACTCCTCCCACAGCGACGGAGCCGAGTACATCAAGAGATACAAGGGACACCGCAACAACGCCACAGGTGTCTCACACACACACACACAGAGACACACCCTGGGCTGTGGGTGGTTTGATGGGGTTGCGGGGGGGGGGTGGGGGGTGTCCCAGGCAGCAGAGAGGCAGGTGGGGGCTTCCTTGGCAAAAGTGGCTGTTGCCCTTGCTGCCCCCTTCTGGCCGGAGGAGACAAGGGGGGGCAGTTAAAATGTGCACCTCCATGTGAAATGGAGGTGGGGGAGGCAGGCAGAGAGAGAGGGGCGTTTGCTGGGGGGGGGGGGAGGACAGATGGGTCTGTCGTGTCTCTCCTGAATCCTCCGGATGAAAAGCAGCTGAGTTTCCCACCCGAGAGGTTCCCTCCTCGGACCAGGCAGGGGACGCAGGCCCTTTGAGGGGGGGGGGGTCCTCCGGCCTGGCCTGACCGCTCTCTGCCTCTGCTTTTTCAGTGAAGGGGGTCAACTTCTACGGCCCCAAGAGCGAGTTTGTGGTGAGCGGCAGTGACTGCGGCCACATCTTCCTGTGGGAAAAGGCCTCTTGCCAGGTGGTGCAGTTCATGCCAGGCGACAAAGGGGGCGTGGTGAGTGGGGCCGGGGGGGGGGCTGCAAAGACCCTGGGGGGGCTGGGGGGGTCCAGTCCCCCGTATCCCTCACCTTCTCGCGGCTCCTCCTGAGCTCGGAGGCCCCTCTGCAGAGGTTTGCAGCCCCCTCCTCTTTCTCTCCGGTTGCCCTCGCAGGTCAACTGCCTGGAGCCCCACCCCCACCTCCCCGTTCTGGCCACAAGCGGCTTGGATTACGACGTCAAGATTTGGGCCCCCACGGCGGAGATGCCCACCCAGCTGACCGGCTTGAAGGAGGTGGGGAGAGAACCCCCGGGTCCTTCCCCTCCCCACCCTCCCCAGGGGTCCCCCCCATGCAGGTCTCCATCCTCGCTCTGCTCCCCCCCTCCCCCCTTGCAGGTGATCAAGAAGAACAAGCGCGAAAGGGACGAGGACAGCCTGAACCACGCGGACATGTACGAGAGCCACCTGCTCTGGTTCCTCATGCACCACTTCCGGCCTCGGCGGCGTCACAGGGTGAGCGGCCCTCCCACCTGACCCGGGCACGGAGGCCCTTCCGGCCCTTGGCAGGGCTGCCCCCCGGGGACCCCTCCGTGGCCTCTCGGGTCAGGCGGCAGCCTCAGGCAGGGAGGAGGGCTCCGGAGGGACCCTGACGCTGAGGCTGCTCCTTTTCTGCAGCGCCAACGGGACGCGGGCACCGGAGTGGCCGACAGCGACTCCGAGGACTCCCTCAGCTCCTCGGACACCCTGGACGAAGAGGAGGAGGGCCCCGACCGGGTGCAGTGCATGCCTTCCTGAGGGGCCCCCGAACAGGCTGCGGGGAGGGTGGGGAGCCCCCCCTGTTGAATTAGCCCCCCTCCTCCTCCTCCTCCTGCTTTAGATGAGAGGCCTGCCCTCGCCCTGCCTGCCTGCCTGCCAGCCCTGGTTAGCAGGGGGGCCGGCTTGGCTCTGCCCCCTCCCCTCCCGGGGACTCTGCTCTGCCCCCAGACTCCTGGCTGCGGTTGGCGCCTGTTCCCTGCAAAGCTTCGGTGGGGTGGGGTGGGGGGCGAGAGTTGGCTCAGTTCCTCTCCGTGGGGGTGGGGACTCAGAAGCACCTTGGAGATGTACTTTTATCTCAAAACACCCCCCCCCCCAAAGACACCCGGCTGCTGCATGTTGCACCCAGGATGAGGGAGCCTGGGTCCTGCTTCTCCAGTGAAACCCTGGGAGCTCAGTTCCCTCTGGGTTGGTGTCCCCCCTTTGCCCCCCCCGTTCCCCCTTTCTTTTGGTGTGTTTCTCCTCCAGCAGCTCTAGGCACAGAGGACCCCCCTCCCTCCCCTCCTCCTCCCTCCCTCCCTCCCTCCCTCCCTCGGCTGTGAGAGCGGCCACTGGCTCAACTCCTCCCGGGAGCATAAAGTTTCAAAGGTTTGAACGCAGCTGCCTCGTTTTTTCCCCCTTCCTCTTCAGGAAAATCTCTTGGTTTTGAAAGCAACTCCCCCCCCCCCCAAATTGCTGTTTAGAGGCCTAATTTTATATGTATTAAACAAGACAAGAACCAAATTAAACTTGGATGTTATCAAGTTAAAATTATTGTAAAAGTTTAAATAAATATATATTATATAAATGCAATAAACGAATTGAGAGAGAGACCCCCGGTGGCATCCACGCCCGGCATCTTTTGCTATTCCTTGCTCTCCTGCGGCTGCCTCGGGTTCTGACCACGACTCGGCTGCTTCGTCCGCCCGGCCCCTCGCCTCGTCCGGGGATGGGTCCTCCTTCCCCTACAACGGGCCCCTTCCTCCCCCCCCCCCCCAAGTAGATGCAGGGAGTAAAATCCCCTTTGCCTTATGGGAAAACTGTTCAGAAGATCTTAGGTGGGGACACCCACCCACCCCCACACCCTTTGCTTGGCAAGCCCCCCAAAATGCTCATTTTTTCATTGTCAGTTACTCCGTGTGGGCGCAATGCCTCCAGGTTTCATTCCGAGTCTCCTCAGTGCGTTGAAGGTGGGAATGTTTTAGTAATTTTCCTTTGCCTCCTCTGGGGCTCCAGCTGGGGAGGGGGCTTGGTGCTCTCACCTGAAGGGAGTGGGGGGGGGGCTTGGCCAGTGCCCAGTTTGCCAATTTGCACCCTTGGTCCTGGAGGCTGCCAGTTGGGGTCACGGCCAGATGTGTTGCAGCTGGGTCTCTGCTTAATTTTAGCAGCAAGAAGTACTGGCTGGGATTTGGCAAAGCAGCTTAAGGTGCCACCAGGGTGCCCGCCTTGCCCCGTGTGTGAACGTGGCCCCTGCGGCCCCCACCTTTGTAGCTTGTGTGGATCCGAGTGGTGCCATCTTCCGCCCGTCACGTCCCAGAGAGGCGTCTTTGGTTTCTTTCTCATTTAATCCCGCAGTCCGAGACGAATGTGGTTTTTTTTTTGAACTTAGAAACGACTACTATTCTCTTACAATTCCTCTTTGCTTTTTCTTTTTTATTTTTGGTCCACTTGACAAAAGAAAATAAGTTAACACTGAGCAGCACTCCATATTATATTTAATATACATATATTTATAATATATATGTACACACAGTTAGCACGGTCTGAGCATCGGAGTCAGGGGCGTTGGGAGGGAACGGGGGGGGGGAGCGCTGGCCGCAAAGGACGGGGTTTGTGCCTTCTGTCGCTCCTTGGAGCTGCGGGGTCCTGGGAGACCCCCTCTCCCCTGCCGGGGGGGGGGGCATCATGAACCTACCCTGTGGCACCAGAGGAGGGCCCTTCCGCTCCCCCCCCCCCCGGAGCCCCCTGCCAGGACAAGGGAAGTCAGAAGAGGAAGCTGGTTTTAAGCTGCTTCGCCTCGTTTCGCTCGCCCTGAATTCTGCACCTCTCCTCACACCCGCCCCCCCCTCCCCTCCCCACACTATTTTTACTTGGTGCTAATTTGCAGTGAGATCAGCACCAACTGTTCCGCTGTAAACACCGGGAGAGAAACGTACTAATTTAAGGCCAGTCCAGGCAACGAGGTTGGTCCCCCAGGTTGGTCCTGGGGGGGGGCAGGAGCTGCTCTGACCTGGCGGGCAGAGCCGTTATCCTGGGCACCAGGGCTGCCCCTCAGGTGGGGCAGAGGCAGAAGCCTTAGGGGGGGAGGGGGAGGCTTGCCCTGGAGCCATGGAGGGCCTTGGGGTGTGTGTGTGTGCTGTGCCAGAGCATCTGCTGGCTTCCTGCATCTCCTCTCTTGCAGACCCCAAATGCGTGGAATGCAGACCGTGGGGAGCCCGAGAATTCAGTCCTCTTCCCCCATCTTGGAGGGGCCCCCGTCCTTTCTGCCAGCTCTTCCCAAGAGTTGTGGCGCTGCGCTTGGCACCCCACGGAGCCAGGACTCCCAGCCCTGCGGCCAGGCTCCCCGTAAGGCCAGCACCTGGGCTGCACGTGACGGACAGAAGAGGGGAGGGCCAGCAGGAGACACGGGGGTGGGGTGGGGGGCTTCAGGGGACACCATGTTAAAAACACAGTTCTAGCCCAGCTGTTTCTATGCACACAACGAGCACAAGACGCGTGTCGGGAGGGTTATGCCACTGGAAGGGGCTGGAGGGGCGCAGGATGGCAGGGCTAAACGACGTCGATATTCAACAGAAACACTTCGCATTCCAGCCGCCAGAGAAGTGACTTTCCCCAAGACCCCCCCGGAGTTCTCTGCAGGACAGGACAGGCGCCGGACGAAGCCCCAGCCCTCCTCTGGCACCCCAAGGCCTCCGCCCTGTGTTGGCACCTCGTGCGGGCGCCCTCGTGCCCCTGCTTGTGCGCCAGGAGGCCAGGCGGGGTGGCCAAGTTCCTTGGTCGTCTCCTGAGCAGAGGCCGCTGCAAAAGCCACCTTTACTGGCCCCACGTGGGGGGCTGAGGGGGGAGGCAGAGGGACCCTGTGGTCTTGGCCCCCAACCCCACCCAGCTGCCGGAGGTCAGTCTGGGGCAGGCAGGCAGGCAGGAAGTCTGCCAGGCTCCCTTCTCCACCCCTCTGGGGAGGGGATTGGTGGCTCCACCACCCACTGGGAGAGGGCTGGTTTTATTGGGGGGGGGGCTGGGCCTTGGGGGCAAGCGTGGCCAAATGGGCAACTGACCCTCACCCGCTGCCCCCCCCCCCTGAGGCACAGGAAGGGGGTAGAAAAGGAGGCACCCGTGGAAATGCCTGGAGAGGCCCCCGGGGTGGGAAGCCCAGGGAAGGCACCTTGTGGACAGGCAGGGGGAGGGAGGGCAGGGGTCGGTGGTGGTGGGTGCTCTGGTCCCCCTGTGCTCAGGGGGGGGGGGGGCTCTGGTCCGGCTGGGAAGGAGCTTCTCTTCCTGCTCCATCTCCTGACCCCTGTGGGGGAAGCTTGCCCAGGGAGGGTGGCAAGTTGTGGGGCATTCCTCTGCCAGGGTCCCAAGGCTACCTACTCTCCCCTCCCTTCTTCTTTCCCTCCCTCCCTCCTTCTCTCTCTCTCTCTCTCCCCCACTTCCTCATTCCTTGCAGAATTGGCCCCTGATCCACCTGTGGGTCGTCTCTTGCCCGGCGGGATGGGATGGGGGAGCAGCAGCAGCAGTGGGGGGGGGGGCTTCCAACCCCTCCCCCTCAAACAGGCCTCAGCAGCCTCTGAAAAAATGTATCGGCCGGCAACCAAGGTGAGAAACATGGGGAGGGGGAGGCATGGACCCCCCCCATCTCCCTTTCTCCATTGCTCCCCCTTTCTCCACCCGGCTGGGACAAGGCAGAGAAGGGCGTAAGCA